CCCCTCCCCTCCCAACCACTCAACCACCTTAACCGCCGCCACCGCTGCAGGTTCCGTTCCCCGGGTGTGAACGACCCGCCTGCTCCGGCGGCGACCCTCTGCCGTACACGAGTGCTAACCCGCCCGCAGTCACCCCCGCCACAGCACCCCCTGACTCCCCGGCCCGCCCCGGCTGCCGGGGCCCCGGGGGCCGCCGTGCCCCATGTCTCCGCGCCGACTAACCTGGTGGCGGCCCGCGGCAGCTGCTCGGCGGCCTCACCCGCGATCACACCGCCGCCGCCGCCGCCGCCGTGGCCGATCTGCCCGCCGCCGCGGCTGCAGCTACCGTCCAGGACCTCCCTACCGCTCACCCTGGGCAGCAGCCCCCGGGGGCCCGCGTACAGCCCGACGGCACAGCAAAGCCCACCTTACCCCCGATTGGCTCTCATGCCGGAGCCCCTGGACCTGGACCTTACCGCCAGCAGCGGTAACGGAATTAGTAACGGTAACGGTAACGGCCGGGGAGGAGTTGCCAGTGTCAACTTTGGCGGCGGCGCACGGCATGCCGCCGGAGGCCGTTACGGACGGCGGTCTACATTGCAGCCGTACCATGCCGTACTAGAAATGAACAACAACAGTGACGAGCATCAGCATGCCAGGCTGGTTGTTGGGTGTGGGGGGCGGCGTGGGGGCGGGGCTTCCTGCCCCGGGCTCCTCCCTTCGCACCACCAACCGTCTTCATCTCCCGGTGGACCAATGGGTTCCGGAGCCGGTTTCGGAACTAAATCCAGAGCTGGATGTGGTCCCGGAGCCACCGGGCCCAACCTGCAGCTTTGCTTACAGCGAAATATGGGGCCCGCCGTCAGCGCCGCCGCCGCCGCCACCGCCACGGGATTTGCTACCGGTGGCAGTAGCGCTTGCGGGGACGTCCTCATCATGCCGCCGGCTGCTGTAGCCGCCGCCTCCGGGGCGACGGAGGCGTCGGCGCCGCCGCCGCTGACGCGGCATGCTAGCGGGTGGTCCTCCCTCTCCGGAGCCAGCGACTGCGGCTTGGGGCCATCGGTGATGTTGTACACGCCTGGCGGAGGCGGAGGCGGAGGCGGCAGTACGACAGCGCCATCGTCGGGCTTACTGAGCACCGCCAGCGCCCTGCAGCACTCCTCCATTGTACGAATGTCACCCGGCCAGCGCTTTGCCGGTCGCTCCGTAACCACTGATGGCCACATGCCGTACATAATTTGTGAGCGGGTAGATGAGGAGGTCGAGGGCTTTTCCGAAGGTGCCAGCATCACGGTAGCCGAGGGGGGCCGGGGGGCGGGTGGCGGCAGCAGGGAGAGTGGATGTGGACTGATTAGAAATCAGAAAGCTGACACGGAATCGAACACGCGATCTCGGCCGGCAGCGTGGACGCCTGGTCCTGGCAGCAACTACGGAGGCTGTAGCTTTCAAGGCGGTGCGGCGGCAGCGGCGGCTGTAGCGGCTGCTGGGCCCCACCCCGGCGGCGCCGCCGCCGCTGCGGAGCTGGCGCAGTGCGGCCCCCGCGATTCCCCCCCGCGAACCCCCGGTGGCGGCAGTAGCTGTAGCGATCAGGATAACGCCAACAATAATGCCAACGACGACGATGACATGACTGGTTGGCTGCCGGGGAATTCGGGTCTAGGTCTGGCGGCGGCAGTGGCGGCGGCGGCGGCATACAGCAGTAGCGGCAGTGATAGGCAGCAGGAACTGCCACCTCATGTACGGCACGGCGCATTTGCGTCACACCGCGTATCCGCGTCTGCGTCATTCGGGGCTGGTTTCGGAGCCGCTGCCCCCGGGGCCGCCCCGCTTGCTGCGGGCCTGACGGCAGGAGCTGCACAGGGTACGGCAACGGCGGTGGTGGCTCCGGGGCTGCCGACGGAGAGGTGGTTACCTTCACAGCAGTCGGCGCGCACTTGGCGCCGGAGTCCGTCGTCCGAACGGGGAGAGCCGCTTCGTGGCGGCGGCAGCGGCAGCGGCAGCGGCGGCGGCGGCGGCGGCGGCGGCGGCGGCCTGCGCGGGTACCGCTTTGTAGAGGGGTTTGGCGGCGAGGTTATTGATCGCGAAGTGGTGGTGGAAGGAGAATTTGAGTTTATGCCGCCATCATGCGGTCGGGGTTGGTCGGGGCCTGGTTCTAGGCGAGGTGGCGGCGGGCGGCAGGGCGACTGCGGGCTTCGGGCGGAGGCGACAGTGCGTTCGCTGGCCCAGGGGAGGCTAATGGCGCAGATGGCGGCGGCGGCGGCGGCGGGGCCGTTTACGGTGGTAAAGCCCGAGGCGGTCGGGACCATACCGCCGCAGTCCCTGCCGCCCATGTCTCCCGCCATACTCCTGAGGATTGGCAGCAGCGGCCGTCGCGGCAGTGTAACTTTCAGCGGCAGCTCGCATCTGTACAACAGCGGCAGCGGCAGCGGCGGTGTCCTGTGCAACCTGCCTACGTTCGCCGGCCTGGCGCAGCTGGGCCCGGGGCCGCCCTCGGAAGCGGGCTCCTGCAGCGCCGGGTCCTCGTTCCGGCTGGCGGCACCCCCCGGTGCCGCCGCCGGGCAGTACCACCTCCCTGAGTGGAAGCAGATGGAGCGACCCACGGGTCACGGTGATGGTCACATACGGGAGGAGGGGTGATGACATACGGGGCGGCAGTTACGATGCGGTGTTGAGTGTTAATGACCGAGCTCTCAAGTCCTGCCACGTCTGTCCATGCGCCAGTTGTGCAATTGGTTGCGGAGGGAGGGAGAAAAGCACGTGTGTGTGTGTGTGTGTGTGTGTGTGTTTGCGGCGGGCGGAGAGCTAGTGATGGCGGGAGAGCTAGCTGGCGGCCGACAGGAGCATGTGTTGTTGCTGCTGCGGCTTCTGTTGCGACCTATTTATAGTACTTATGACCCGCGTATACGCATATGCTTGCCTGCGATACCTAAGTGACCTTGTTGATGTCGTACTGGATTTCTCCGTACACGGCACCGGCTGGCTATGGATGGGACAGGAAGTCACATCCGGGGATTGCAGCTTGCACTGCCCTGCTCCCTTGCTTGCTCGCTAGCTAGCTAGCTAACTAGCTAACTAGCTAAAATGCTCGCCGCTGGAAATCAAAGTATTCTTGAAGCCTACACACGTAGTTGATTTGCATTTGCATTATAATTTATACCAATACAACGACGTTAATAATGATGCCAAAATTTGCAAAAGTACTTGATCATTAATTATTAAGTAGTGGTGGTTGGACTGCTTGAGATGACAGTTTTGCCGCCAGCGTAGGCCAGAGCATGCCGTACTTTTGCGGCCAGTAGCATTATCACTTTTGCATTGCAACATGGACAACATCGTTCCGCCATGTCGCTCACCACCACCCGCGTGTGGGCATAGCTGCCCGCATAGCTTTTCACGTCCGCATGATCTGTTAGCGTTAACTTATTTTTGACCGGCAAAGCCGTCAGTTAGTTAGTATACGTTGACAAATTCAGTTGACGGGTAGTGTACGAACTTTGGCGATTGAGGACCCTGGGAGAGCATTTGCGCCAACCCTGAGCAAGGCTTGCGCTGTCTGTGATGTGATATTTTGTTACGGCTCGTCCATTGATACGAGTTGTCGTACGTTTCGCGTAACGCGGCACAATCCACACGCCATTTGCCTGTGGTGCCCTTTTGGCGTGTAGTGTATAAGAGTGTGCGTATCATTTCCTTACGTGGAGGAGCGGCCCGACCTGCCGCCTAGCCCGCTGCGCACAGGGGCGAATGCTGGCAGGAGGTCTGTTGCGTCTGTAGCCGTGTCTGTACTGCGGGGTGCTTGGAAGTGTCGTGGTGAGGTTGCAGGGGCCGTACCAGCCCGTACCTGCCTGCGGGTGGGGGCAGCATCTGATGGCTCTCTAGTGCGAGCGGGGGCCATAGGGTCCCAATCGGACTTACCGCTCCGCCCTACCTCTCTACCTGTCTACCTCTAGCACGTCCGTCCTCCTACACCGCTGGCGCCTTTGCTTGTTTCGTGGAAATGAGGTTTTTATGCGTGTGGAAGCCACAGCCGGGCTTCTGTTCTGTGCTGGGGTACCGCGTATTAGGTAGGGGTAGGGGTAGGGGTAGGGGCAGGGGTAGGGGTCCCTGTCCAGTCTTTTCCCCGCTGCGAGGTATGATGTATGACGTATGTGTATCCCCCAGTTGCCGTACGAGGAGGCAGACGAGCCCGCCCTCCTCCCGCCTGATATCCTGGGGCCACCCACCCGGTCGGCACCAGCAGCGCTCCGAAACCGGCAGCGAGTGGGAGGGCTGCGTCGTCGTCGTTCCCTAGAGCAATGTAAGCAGTCGCAAGCCAGGCAGGGCGCCCTATCGCGTGGCTTCATCCCTCACTCCCTCAAACCCCCACGGCCAGCCATGCTGATCAGGAATTGGTGTCAGTCAAAGTGGGGCGTCAGCGCCGTTGCCGTACTCACTAGCTAGTCACTCGTGGAACAGTATACAATGACAATATTGTATTGTCTAGTAAAAACTTAGGAAAACTAAAATAATTAGCCATGTTCCCCCTCCTCCTCTTCCCGGGGAAGGAGAGGGGGGCATGATGGGCCTCAATATGACCGCCACCACGGCAGCCAGTCAGTGCCGCCGGAAGCTCGGGAGATCTGCCGTACAACCCACGTACATCTTAGCTATGGAGATGAGATCCAAACAAAATGGCGAAATGTTCACTGTCCACATGACTGGCTGCGCTGAAACGCGGATATGGTGGAAATCATCCAAACCCCTGAGCTACATACATACAAACATGCAGACTGGGCACGGGTCGTGCTGCATCCTGCCTGCCTGCCTGGACTCGGTTACTGCCACCGGACCACATGGGGGGGGGGTCCCAACCACCGAAATCCAAGCTCCCACCCCGTCAGGCCTTTCGACACCTAGCAGTGTAAAACCCGCTCCGTCCACCACAATGCACGGCACGGTGACGGGGAGAGCCTCCTCCCTAGGGGGGGACCCGTTGCCCCCCCTGGTATCCGGCAGGTGACTGCGCGACCGCTTGTACGACCAGCCCCCAACCGCGATGACATGAGGATGTGGTTGTCCGTACCACTCGGAGCCGCAGCTGCAGCACCTGGTGGCGACACCTGAGCGACCTGATGGCCAGCAGTTAGGGTGGCTGCTGCAGTTAGGGTTTAAGTTCTTCAGTAAGTTCTATATGATGTTGGGCGAACTGCAGCACCACTGCAGTGCCCCTCCCTACTCCTCACCTCCTAGTTCATCGGTGTTTGTGCCACTGAAGAGCCACTTACTCGTGTTCGCGTTTGGATATCTAGCATGACGCGACGCTGTTCAGGGCGGAATGGCGGCAGCATCAGAGCCGCAGCAGCAGCCAGGTCCGTGGCACCGCGGGCAGCAGGATAAGATCGGGACAGGAGTCGTGGTCTTAGGCAGGAGGTAGAGGCCGCGGCGGCGGCTGGGGGTACGTACAAGATGGAGAGGTAAGGGATGACGACGACGACGTCCTCCATGAACATTCCGACGCTGCATGTGAGGTGACGACCCATCACCGGCTGAGGGGTAGCCGACCGGCTGGCAGCGCACCTCTGGAGGACAAAGACTGCCCCGGTGCACCTCTTGGGCCCTCAGGAAAGGTCCGGCGGTAGGGGGGCGGTAGGGGGGCGGTAGGGGGGCGGTAGGGGGCGGTAGGGGGCCGCCGCTGACGGCGACAGACAGCGATGCCGAATGCGGGCATTGTTCATCCTGGTGGCAATGGCAATGGTGGCAGTGGGGCAGGGTGCTTCCGGGAGTCGTGGTGTCGACATGCAGGCAGCCACCGTGGCTGCCTCCGCAGCTGGTGGTGACCCTCACGAATGAGGGCGACTGGCGGGAGAGCCACGACATCCATTTCCAGGTGCCCCTCGTCAACACCGCCGAATATCTGAAGCTGCTCCATAAACAGCCATTCAGCTTGATGTTCATGACTCAGCACGTCGTTCTGGGTAACTACAGCAACACTGAGGACTGGATGTTTGTGGGAAGATGTTGGATCACAGGCTAGCGAGGGAATCACGGCAACTTTTAGCTGTAACTCCTAGCTAGCTAGATTGCTTGCTAGCTAGGGTAACATGCTCTTATTGATGGTGTCGCGGGGGGTTGCACAGAGCAAGCGTAGTGTGAAGGCCCGCAATGTCCTGCTTGCTGCATACCCGTCCGGGGATGTGCGCCTCGTTCCATTAATTCCTTAAGCTGGGCACTCACATAATGAATTGATGTAGGCGGCGTAAACAGTGCCCTTACTTGGGGCTCAGCGGGGGTGAACGCGCGGCCAGAGGGGGAGTGCTGCTAGTGCTGTGCAGCAGCCACCGTGTTCGGAGGAGAGGCGCCCGGGGGAGCACCCACTGGGTTGGGTAGGGCCGTGCTGGTTTCTGATTCCACATTTCCTGAGGTATATGACGGGTAGTGTTAATCACCCTCCAGCACACCGGCGCCGCTTTTGGAGCTAGCTCTCCCAAGGTTATAGTGAATTTTAGGGTTTGATGACCTGTACGACAGCTCATAGATATTAGGCACCAGGGGGGTTTTGCGGCTGCTGCCGCCGTTCTGGGACTTGGGGTGCTTTGCAGGCTGGGCGACTGCATAGCGCCGAGAACCTCGCGACAGGTAATGATGCGTGCCGCACACTATACCCCGCGGCTGATAGTAGGGGCGACATCCAGCATTCCTACATAACATCATTTGGTGTATTACACGAGGGCACGCTATACTAGGGACCGGCTAATGTCCCCTTACGGTTGCGCGGTCCTCGGGGTGTATGTTGGTAGTTCCTGATTTCTCTGTGTGCGTGTGTGTGCGTTACTGTGTCGGTTTCGTTCCGGTTGTTCATCTCCTTCTCCTTTACCTCGCGTGTGTGTTTGCACTTCTGTCGTACCACTTCTGCCGCTATTGCACTGGCTTCTTATGTAGCGCTTTTCGCCTTGGAACCTCTCTCGGTTCGCTAAGACGGGACCGCTAATTGCTTGTATAAGCAGCGGATGTGTAACACACACACTCTTGTAAGCCTGGGGCTACACGAGGATTATGTGGTAAGATCTTCCTCGAGTCATGTCGGGTCGTCCAGTTGTGCTTTTCTCAACACCTCTTGATCTTCTGCTTACCGATGACTGTTTCAATGGTGGCTGCGAGCTGCAAGTAGTACGCGAACCGGTGCACATGTGTGCGTGGAAGCCCTAGCTGACGGTGGGTTGCAAACTTGCGCGGTATGGTTAGTCTTGTTCGGGGCTTTGGGCAATAGTTGTATTTGCGAAACATTCAGATTATGTATCCATGTTATGCAGCAAAAACCATCATGTTGAACGAGTTGTTCGCTTTGGCTGATTGATAACTGGACGGCCGCGGATTATAGCCGAGAGGTTGCAACGCGGTGGTTGGCTCGTCCAAAGGCGTCGATCTTTGCCAGGATCTTGGCGTTTTGTTCTGATCCCATCTCTGATTAGCTGATGACATATGAACTTCACAATTCACACGCGCGGAATGATTGACTCGGGCAAGGTGAAGGGCTAGGGTTGCGTGGATGGCTTCAAAATGCCCGCCGAAGCGAAACCCGATCACATATTCGTATTAGTACACGGTCTTGCAGACACACTACACGCATGGGACAATTGCATCAAGGAGCTTTGCAAGTGGGGCTCTCCAAATGTCTTGTTCTACGCATCTGCTGTCAACGCACGCTTCAGGACGCATGATGGCTTTGACAAATGTGGCGAACGATTAGCAAATGAGATAAGGGAAGTTGTTCGCCAGCACCCTCAGTTGACAAAGCTGTCGCTCATTGGCCACAGCATGGGGGGCATGATTGCCCGATACGCGATTGGCACCCTTTTCAATCCATCTGACAGCACTATCTGCGGTCTAAAGCCAGTACATTACATTACATTGGCTACACCGCATTTGGGCTTGACAACGGACGACGGGCCGGCGCAGGTGCCCTTTGTGGCATGGGCGGGTGGTATACCTGTGCTGGGACGCCAAGTCAAGAGCGCCTTGCAGGTACGGGGCTTCAATATCAGAGGAATGCAGCTGATCTGACTGAACTGATTTGACCGGCCCTTGGGGATTTCCCCTTTCCCGGGGGTTTCGGGTGGCAGGTCCGAGGGGCCCGGAGCTACCCGGTCTGTGTGACCACCCGCTGGTGACCCCATGAGCTCCGCGGGCAGCGGCCGGTCGCCCACGAGAGACCTCCCACCTCCCGCAGGGGCTAGGTCCCAGATCGCATCATCACCTTCCTTGTTGGCCGCGGCCAGTTTCCCCCGCAACCAGTCATTCCTCCCTATCCCTATCCCGTCCCCAGTCCATGGCTCACGGTGTCGCCCGCGCCGTGTTCCGCCACACGGGTCGTCACTTCCTGGCGCTGGACGGCGCCCCGGGGGAGCTGCCCCTGCTCATGATGCTGGCCATGGACCTACCGGACAGGTTGGCTAGGGGCAGGGAGGGCGGGGAAAGGATAGGGGGAGGACGGGGGAAGAGCAGGTCGGGGGGCGACCTGAAGGGGAGGGGTTTGTCGGAGGCCGAGGGAGAGGGCGAGGCGGCGGCTTTGGGGGTTGGCTGGGGTATGAGGGGGCTGCTGGGCGCCTTTGGACCCCTTTGGCC